TTAGATTCTATGGAAGGTTCAGGTTCACCTTTGTTTCTTGAAGTTTGTTTAGAATTATTATTCCCATTTTACATCTGATTGACATGAAATTGCCTGAGACTCTCTTTGGCTGTGCATTCTCCTTTCAGCATGGCATTTACATATTCTTTGATATTTTACAGATTTATTTAGATTCATTCATTGCTACATTGTGAATATGTTTTCTCATCGAATAAGTATCTCTGTGGACAAACGTAGAAATATTTGTTTGTTTGCTTTTTGTTTAGTATCAGATAGAATACTCTGCTGTATTTTACGGTTTTATACCGTGTGCTTCTGACTATATCTATTTGTACAGGAATAGTACCCCTGATGAGAAGTATGGTCAACTTTTTGTCTTCTCACTAAGACTTGCATTGTGGATGCAAACTATTGGGTTTTCAGTGAGGTTTTTGTCTTCATTTATATGGATCCAGATGTACAGGTTAGGGGTCTCATCAAGCACGCCAACATATTATGAAGCAAATGATGCAAGAAATAGTTTCTTGAGCCCCAGATCTAATTCAGTTAGACGGGGTTCAATGGCTGATGATATATTGGGTGGTTCAATTTACGATCCTTCTTACTACTCTTCTCTCTTCGAAGATGTTCGAAATAATGCATGCAATCATCAGGTATGAAAAAGACATACAGGTTAAGGGTTTCATCAAGCACGCCAACACAATATCAATCCTAACTAATGCTACCATTTCTCCTTGTTTGTACTTACCTGCATGAACAAGTATTAATAAGACAATTATTTCCTTCCATAAGGTTGACCAATTAGCCTCCTTTTTAGTTCGTCATATTGGTCTCATATAAACTACTCTATTCCTCGCTAAGGGGTTGTTTGGATATGGGGATTATAGAAAACCGTATTCCCTAAAACGTAATTTCTGACCACCTAAAAACTTGTTTAGGTTATCCAACTAAGATAAGTATAAGTGAGATTTATAAAAACCTGAAAAACCAGTTTTTAGAAAAATGACTAATAGTGGTTTTTGTAGAAAACTCGCAGCGCCATGCAGTCCGGTACCTCCTCGTGCACCAGCGGTTTTTGCTATGGCGTCTGCATGTCCATGTCGCGGCAATGGAAGCACTACGTCGGGGCAACGCCTCCCTGCGAGCTCGCTCACACGCCACTCAAACTCGCCGTTGTCGCGCAAGGAGTTGAGCACGACAAGCCCGCCCACGAGCTTCTTGTTAAGGAAGATCTGGGGCATGTGGGTGGCGTTGCCGACCTTAGACGTGAGACTGGCATTGCGCTTCGGGAACATGCCGAGGTTTATTATTTGCTGCCTTATATGTCCAATACATCCCTTTTTCCCTTGCATGAGTTTCCCTTAGTCCCATACAAATGGACTAATTTTTGGTAACTTGTGTATGATCCCCATACTAGGCAATGCTTGGTACCAAAATCAGGAGAGGTCAACCTGCCATATGCATGAATAGGCAGGCCAGGAAATCCTTGCACGGCGGTGTGCTCTTACCAATCAGCGAGCTCCTTTCATGCACGTCTGGAGACATCTAGACTCACCCATCAGGTACAATGACTAAGGCCTCCATCTTGCATCTTCCGTTCCTCCGTACCGCTTTGCGGGTTATGAGGAAGCGGGCGATGTAGATCAAGCATCCGACAGCTGCTAAGACTCCCAAGAGTCGCTGCTCAGCTTTCCGGCAAAAGGCTACAATGTTCACCTGCCCTGTTTTACTTTTTCTCATTTCCTTCCTCTCAGTAAGGCTATAAAATCCCACAACCTTCCTCTCTGCCAAGGATTGAGAGCCTTCTAGCTCATTCTACTTGTATTGGGTGGAGGATCGTCATGGTTCTAGGGCCGATGGTAGTCACAAGGCCTATCCATGATATTGTCAAGGCATGGACCGCGGTTTTTGCCCTTGTCCCGCCACTCGCGTTGATCTGGTCGTCGCCGTCGTTGTAGTCCTTGTGCTTGTTCTTGCAGTTGCGTTTAGGTTTGCCGATCTCGTCCTTCGTACCGGACATGCTGGGATCCCCGTCGTGTGCCTTCTGCTTGGCGTACCACTCATCCTCACCGGAACAGAACTTGGTTACTATCTCCATCAAGGTCAGCATGGTCTTGGGCATGTACTTCCCGAAGTATTTGGTAGGTGCTTGTCAGATAGGCAGTGCTTAAACACAACAATGACCTCGGCGCCATCAGAGTCGATGATCTCATTCTTTTTCCTGAGGAAACGTGTCTAGAAGTCACACACCGATTCTATCTTTCCTTGGGCCAGATGTCCTTGGTCGCTGGCATCATCAGGCCCGGCGTACGTGCCCTTGAAGTTAGGTATGAACTTGGCTTGCAAATCATCCCAGCCGCCGGTCGACGTAAGCACGAGGGTGTTTAACCAGGCTTGGGCGGATCCCTTCAGCACCAGGGGTAAGTGTTTGACGGCGTGCCAATCATCACCGTTAGCCACCTGGGCCGTTATAATGTAGTCGGTTACCAAATCTCAGGTTCCTGGCTTTTGTCATACTTGTCCACCGCATTTAGCTTGAAATTTGGTGAAAAAGTGTGGCAGACAATTTTGTCAGTGAAGCAGGCCGGATACATCGCGGGGGGACCTGCAGCCGAGGGGTGGATGATGTTTATAGTGTTGCTTGCATCATCCAGGCCGGCCGCGCGGTTGTAGTCGTTGAAAGCTGGCTTGTTTCTATGCCAAGCTTGCCGGCGCAGCCGAATTGCACATTGCTTCTCGGTCTCACGCATGGTTGGGTCACGTGGCACATCAGGCCTTGGAGCGGGCCCTTGAATCGTCTTAGGCTGATAGATCGTACGAGGAGCTACGTCGTGGGTCATGCGGTGTTCCTGATTACGACTGCCAGACTTATGGGTACATCGGCTGGCCATGGTCTACGGCGTTCTTCATAGTTTCTTCCATCCTCCTGCTCTTCATGGCCAGGGAGGCCTTGGTTGTAGTCGGTTCGGTCTTGCCAATTGGATGGGTAGTTCGATATAGCTGTTCGACATCCATGAGCTCGGCCGCTTTGTGCTCCAGGGGTCGCTTTTCTTTGGAAACTTTGCCTAGGGCCGACAGGACCTTCAGCCAAGCTGCATCTTGCTTCGGATCATCCATCTGTTGGTCAAGCGCCTCGATCTCCCTATCATTGAATTCTACCTCGCCGCTTTCCTCGCTTGCCATGAAGCTTAGATTTGGCGCATCAACCATGTAGCACTCGTGGACCGAGGTCGCCTGCCACGGGCATAAGGGCGCCGCGGCTGGTGGTTGGCTGTAGCCGACTCGCCCAACTCCTCGTCCTAGTCCTGCTCCTCGATTGCGCCTTCAAGGATGCCGGTTAGGTCTTCAATGTTGGCGATCAAGTGGGTAGTTTGGTGGGTCAAATTTTTGACCTGCTGCTCCTGGGCCCAGCATGACGACAAGTCCTGGAGAACCAGCTCGCCGCAGGAGTCTGTGACGTACTTAAGGTTGCCAAATCGAACGATCTGGCCTGAACCGTAGTTCTCGACCTGGCCGATGTGGCAAGCCGAGATGGCGAGGAACATGATCACGCCGAAGTCGAAGAGTTGACCCAGCGCTTAGATTACGCCGGCATCCATCGGAGAACCCATCCGACCTCTGCGGGACCTGTATGGGTCACCAATGTCGGAGCTAATTTCGGTAGATCCCTTGGTAGGGTATCCCGGCGTGGCAATTAGGTCAGAGGGGAACAACAGATAGATTTACCCTGGGTTCAGGCCCTCCATACGAGTTAAAACTTTACTCCTGCTTGTGTATATTGCGATCGGGGGTGTACAAAGTACATGTATAACGGAGAGATTGTACGACCATCTATCGACTAGCTCGACTCCTACTTATATAAGATACGAGGGCTCCTAGGGTTACACAACCTAGTCGGCTATGTCGTTGGAGGGGAGTCCTCCACGGATCCGGCTTCTTTGTCTTGAATGGCAAGGATCCCATGGGCTGGCATGATGGCCCAGGGCGGAACCGACCTAGGGGGCCTCGGGCCGGCCTACTTGGACCGGTAACCGACAAGGTGAGGCAGCCCTGGGTCATAACACCGTCAATCACCTTCCATTCACTTCTATCCGTGCAATAAATCGCCGAACTTATTCTCTTTGCAATTTATGAATAGCTATTCGTCACATCCCTCTGTCCTCTCCTTTGTTTTTTACTACAGCAGGTTGAAGGCTTTGAACCGTGTGCCGTTTTTGCTAGCTGCTAGCTTTGAAAATTTGAAACGGTTGACCAGGACTGGTGATTATATTTTAATTAACAAAGTACCATTAACTAACAAAGTGCCAGTTTTTTTATGAACAGTGAGAACTACTCCCTCTGTAACTAAATACTACTATAAAACATCTTATATTTAGTTATAGAGGGAGTATTTATTAACAGTGACATGCTTTAATTAAACAGTACGAGGAATTTTAACAAAGTGCCATACATAGAAATATAAGGTTATGCACAAAGTGACATACTCCCTCCATTCCACAATGTAGTGCTTCCTCTATCCCCGTGCTTCAACTTTGACCGTAAATTTAACTATCAAGACCGATTGCGGCGGGAGCAAAAATTATATCAGTGAATTCGTATTCGAAAGAAGTTTTCAATTATATATTTTTTTCTCCTGCCGCAGTTGGTCTCGTTGGTTAAATTTATGGTCAAAGTTGGACCTCGGGAAGCGCGGGCGCACTATATTTTGGAATGGAGGGAGTACAAGGTTACAGACCATGCACAGTAATACAGTCATACACCAAAATACAAAGTGACGGACATACCGCATTTACAAAACAAAGTTCCATATTTATATACAAAGTGCCATGTTCAAAATATACAAGGTATTCAAATAAAAAAGGTGCCAAATTACAAAGTACTACATTCCGAAATGTACAAAGTGCCACATCAGTAAACGTACTAAGTACCAGCAGTTTACCATCAATGCATTTGAAGTGCCAAGTTACGAAGTGCCGCATTGTGAAGATATACAAAGGTTGACATCAGTTTACAAAGTGCCACATCAGTAAACATACTAAGTACCAGCAGTACATTTTAAGCACCAGCAATACTAAATTTAAGTGCCAAACTTAAGTACCAGCAGTACTAAATTTAATTGCCAAATTACAAAGTGCCATGCAGTAAACATACTAAGTACCAGCAGTTTACCATCAAGTATTTTAAGTACCAGCAATACTAAATTTAAGTGCCGATTTACAAATCACAGTCAAGTTCAATCAGGAGATCAGCAAAGTTCGTACTCATGTTTAGTTAAGTTCGAACATGAGATAGCAAAGTTCATAGTTAATAAGAATGTCTTCACTTATAAATGCATACACACAAAGTGCTGGCTGATGTATAACAAAGTACCATATTTGAATTAATACAACACAAAAGATGCATTCAGAAAGTCTTGTACTTTCAGTTACAAAGTACAGAAATTAGTACATGCCAACCTCGGTAGAAGCCGGAACATTATAATTCACAGCGAACTTCTCTGTCTGCAGGGTGATAAACAAAGTGGTAGTAATGATAGCGGGTCAACATCTGCAGGCCAATCTCCACGGCTTAAATCTTTTGGTAGTAGATCTTTTCTTTCCAATGATGTAAGTCGTGTTCAATCATTTGAAATTAGAATATATAGCATGTTTGTTCTTAGATTCTCCTTTCTTCCATCACATCACTACCTTCAGTGAGAATCTTATTTCACTGTCTCATTTAAGTTGGGGTTTGATCTATGAACGCATGAAGAAATATCTTGGAACACAATTATTCAATATGGTGGTATGAGAGTTCATTTTGATGATATGGTGGAACCATAAATGCAACTTATGTTGCTAAGGGTCCTTGATGCCTCATTTTAGTTGATCTAGCTGGTTTTTGATGCATCATGTACTGCTGGAGTATGACACATTTCTGCTTTATCTGGAATAACAGGAGCTGATTTAAACTGCCCTGTTGCTAGTAATGGTATGAGTATTATTTATACTTGTGTGTTTTCCATAGTCCTTACTTGTGCAAGGCTCCATTTAGAGTCGTGGTGGTATTTCAAGAGCACATGGTATTTCCATTTCTGGATGTAAGTAGCTGAAAGCATAAATAATAAAAATTTAAATGCAAAGTCTTGCTGGAATGGCATTGGCAGTCCGTCAGCTTTGGGCAAGAGTTGCAACCTGTAACTCATTGACATAATGTTTAACTGATAGCATCTCTACAAATTATTTCTTTAAAATGCATTTGTGCCGAGCAATTGTAATCACATTGATTCTGACTTGCACTTTGGGACATCTTTGTGACATTTTTTCTCTTGAAGGTGGAGGCTGGACTAAGAAAGCCGCTGAACTCTTGCTCAGTGGAGACAAGTTGAAGACGGAACTTATTTTTGCCAACCTGACTACCCGAGCACTCTTTGTTTGGTCCTCCTTGAGCCAGTAACTCTTGATTTAACATAGAGATTTGTACAGTGCAAATGTTCATGCCTCGGAACAGCGGCTCCCCAGTAAATCAAGAGCAGCAAGATAGTACAACGATGATGGCCTGTGTTGCTAC